GTACATCGGATGTCCCAGATAATAGATAATTAAAATTCTATAATCAAGTTGCTTGTCGACAGATAAAATGAAAATGACAATCCAAGTTTTGACACTAGACATAAATGATAAATGACGTTTGTGTAGAGATGTTGGTTTCAAAATAACGAAAACGGGTCTGGGTCAAATAACGAAAACGGTTCCAACCGTTACAAGCTATACCACGTGTCGCAGAAAGCAATGGTTTTTTTTTTCGTCACGTGTTCGACGTTATTTACTAAGAACACAAATCGAGAGATTTATTAAACCTGCTGTTGATTATAAATCGTAAATTTAAGTACTCACAATATTTCACTTTGTAAAATTGTTGTAAGCTAAAGCAAGTTTATACTTTAAATCAAGGTTTTAACTGAAGAACATATTTAATATCATCGTTAACACATTTTTACTAGCTACATTACTACAATCCACTGCTCCCAGCTGGTGGGAAGAAACCCTTTTTTCTGTGACGGCAATTGAAAAAATTTCAAAGTCACAGAGAACAGTTCTTAGATTAATAGTCCTAAAAGAAGACTCAAAAGGAAATTAAAATAAAATGAATTTATTTATTCAAACTGCTCCTCATTCTTTTTAACATATTGTTACGCAGCACCCTGCGGCCATTAAAGGAAACGTACAGATAGAAAAAGAAGTGGAATGTTACTCATCGCTCTACAGTGTGCTCGGTCGTCATAAGTAAAAGTACAAGTAAAAGAAGATAGAATAATCCAGAAATGTCATTATCCGTCAAGAATATTCTAGACGACAGATCGAGAAGGTTCGAAGCAAGCTATATAAGGATGATCCTGACGTCAGTTTTCAGTTTTATAATAGACGTTACATGTTAATGTTATCAGTTGTATAATTGTTGTTAAAGTTGAGTTGAAATAAATTGCGATACCAAAAACTTGTGTAACATTGGTGACAGCGGTGGGATATAAATTAAAAGTTCATGGTAAATACTAGATCCACTGAGTACGAAGCAGGAATGGATACTTCAGGCCCACCAGCATGGTTTTTGAAGATGAAAGAGGAGAGAGTAAGGCAAGAAGAGCAAAAGAAAAGGCGAGATAAGGAAAAGGAAAGGCGTAGGAAGGAAGAAGAGGAGGAAAAGGAAAGGTGTAGAAAAGAAGAAGAGGAGGAAAAGGAAAGGCATAGGAAGGAAGATGAGGAGGAAAAGAAAATGAGTAGGAAGGAAGAAGAAGAAGAAGAAGAAGAAGAAGAAGAAGAAGAAGAGAAGAGGGAAATACGAGAAGAGTAGGAGGAGAGGCATAGAAAAGCAGAGGCAGAAATTAAAAAGGGCTTAGTACAAATTCAAGAAAACTTCAAGCAAGAGATTGGTCAGCTCAAAATTAGAGTAGATCTTTTAGAGCAACAACAAGAGCATTTAAAAACTCATTTAGAACAGCAGCAAGAGCATTTAAAAACTAATTTAGAACAACAACGAGATAATTTAAAACAACAGGAAAATGGTAGAGTAGAGTTTGAAAGGAAAATTAGAACTGAACTAGTTGAGTTAGAAAGAAGAATTCGTAGCCTAGCTTCGATAAGCAACAGAGAAGCTGAAAACACTTCCTCGTTCTCATCTGTAATAGAACCAAGCCATATTCAACTCCCAGTTTCAAAAATTCATACTAGTAAGATCATTAAGCCACCCACGTTTGACGGTCAGACAACATGGGAAACGTATCGCCACCAATTTGAATCTGCAGCTAGAGCCAATGGCTGGGCTGAAACTGCATTGATAGTGTCGCTGCGAGAACAAGCAGCAATCGTTTTACAGTTACTTCCTCAAGAAGAACCCAGTTATTCATCTCTCGTCCAAGCTTTGGAGACAAGATACGGCCAGCAGCATTTGAAACGGGTATTTCAAAGCCAGTTAAAGGTTCGTATTTAGAAACATAATGAGAGTCTACAGGAATTCGAGGCCGATATAAAACGATTGATTCAATTGGCCTATCCACAGGCACCCAAAGATTTCCAAGAACAAATCAGCATGAAAGCATTTATTGATTGACTACAAAATAAGAAAATGCAGCAAGTCCTTCGTCTATAACATCACAAAATATTGAGGAAGAAACTGATTGCAGCCCAGGAATATGAAGCGGTAAAACTCATATCAGATCTTCTCGCGCAAAAGTAAGAAAAATTAAATCCCAGGAAAGTGAGGAGGCCAATGCTAATGCTGTTCCCCAACCTACCCTCTCGCATATATTAAATATCCTACAAAATATTCAACGAAACAGCCAAAATGGAAGCAGGAGATGTTTTAATTGTGGAAGAATCGGACACCTTCAAAGAACCTGTAGAAGCAGAGCTCGTTCTATAAATCGAGAATCAGAGAATGAGGCCGAAAAGTCACATAGATCAATCTTCCGAAGTCCTTCAGGTCGAACAAGAAATAGTCACAGCCGGCTTTCTAGCAATATTCCAGAAGTAGAGCATCGTAGAGGGCATCTCCATAGCAATGCAGACATTCTCTCCAGGCGACCCTGTTTAGAACGGGAATGCTGGTACAGTAAGGGGCTTGAAGAACGGGAGGAACTGGTTGACAAAGTTACTTTTCAGGCAACCACTATCAAACCAGAGGGCTACGAAGAGGAAATCACTCTTGAAAGCCTGAGAACGGGACAGAAGAAAGACAATGATCTAAAGGTTGTTCGAGAACATAAAGTTACACCTACTTGGCAGGAGATAGCCAAATACAGTGGAGCTATTAAAGGGTACTGGACTCAGTGGGATTCCCTGTATCTTTACGATGGCCTATTGCACCGAAAGTGGGAAATCCCTGATGGAGTACATGTAGTCCGCCAAGTGGTACTGTTAAAATCACATGTCAGAAGTGTGTTAGAAGAGCTTCATTGTAGCCGTTCAGGAATACATGTTGGTACTAAAAGAACACTAGCACGAGTTCGGGAAAGATTTTATTGGATAAATTGCCGACGGGATGTAGTGGATTGGTGTAGAAAATGTGATGTACGCAATGGCAGGACAAAGGTCTACGGATTCGCTCGGGAACGACTAAAATCTATCAGCGATAAAGAAGAAGCTAGAATCGACATGCATGCCACAGGGACACATTTTGAGAGAGGTGATCCAGTATGGCTGTACAATTCCAAGCGCCGAAAAGGACTTTGTCAGAAACTGCAACGGAACTGGAAAGGCCCCTACACCGTTCTCAAGAAAATTAACGACCTAATCTACCGCATTCAGTTGTCAGCGGGAAGTAAACCCAAGATAGTTCACGTTGCAAAGTTAGCGCCATATCATGGTCCAGATCCTCCCCGTTGGCTCCAACCAAATCCCAGCAATCAAGTGATTCGGGGCGAATAACTAGAGAGGAGGGAGCAATGTTACGCAGCACCCTGCAGTAGCCTATGGCTATTATAGGAACCGTACAGATAGAAAAAGAAGTGGAATTTTACTCATCGCCCTATAGTATGCTGCGGTCGTCATACGTAAAAGTACAAGTAAAAGAAGATAGAATAGTCCAGACATGTCATTACCCGTCAAGAATATTCTAGACGACAGATCGAGAAGGTTCGAGAGCTATATAAGGATGATCCTGACATCAGTTTTTAGTTTTGTAATAGACGAATGTTTTCAGTTGTATAATTGTTGTTAAAGTTGAGTTGAAATAAATTGCGATACCAAAAACCTGTGTAACAATATTATACTTTTCTGTGTCTAAATGCATGTTTAATTACTTTAATGAAGCATCATATGGAATCTGAGCGTAATTGATCAAATTGAAAAATAGAGAAATAAAAAGAAACACGATTCAACAATAATAATACTTTGAAATGTATTTTATGGTAAGGTAATAAGGACACATGCCCACGTACTATACAGCTAAGAATGAGAAATTAGGGATGAAGTTGGAACTGATTTATTGTTTGCTTTGCGTCGAAATAGGTTAGGTTAATTTTGTTTGTTGAAATCGTTTGTGTTCCAGGTCAGAACACTTGGAAATGTGTTAAAATATCTATGATTTATGCTTTTCGTTTTTGATGGCATGTCTTTTCACGACTCTTTAAAGTTTTGACCGAAGTTGTTCAAATATGTAGAAAACCCGTTATATTCAGAAAGTTTTGGACTTTTTGACGTTGTATAATATTGTCAAACATCAACGATTTGTAACTAAGACATGAACATCTAGTAGGTTGCATAAGAAAATGTACTAGATGATTTTCGTTTTAAATAGAATTAGTTTATACAAGTATAAAATTCAGTATTTTGTGATCTGACTGAAGCTTTTGACTTTGTTAACCACGCAATAATGCTGCGAAAGCTTGGAAGTTACGGTATAAAAGATGTGGCCTATCATTTAGATCGCCAACAGAGGCGCTAACAAGCATAATAAAATGGGGTGTTCCTTAAGGTTCTAGGGCCCACCCTATTTTTAATTTATATTAATTTAAGTAAGTTTAATATCTCGGAAAGTTTCAATCTATTAGTTGATGATGGAGTAACAAAGACGTCAATATTCTTCACAAACATATTAGAGATTATTCCAAAACTGTTAAAAGAATTGATAAATGTTGAGTGATAAAATTGGTTTAGAAAGTTTAGATTTTAGGAAAGTATGTTGATTTAGAATAATCACATCTGGAAAAATTATCATAAAAAATTTTTAATTTTTATTTTTTTATATTACCAAGTTTGGATTTTCTCATTTAAATAAATATATAATATTCTCCCTTTATCTATCTCTTTTAGCTACTTTGCCCAATATGGACTATTAACAATGAAGTATCCTGTATATCCTAAGAAACCGATTAAGAATAATACAACTACACAAAAGAAAAAGGATAACTAAAAATAGCGCGATCTAATTTACGAAAAACGTCTTTTTAAACACATCTGCCCCCAAAGCCGCCGTATTATAATCATCCCGTTCTCCGTGCGGAGAGATTACCCTTTGAGATATCCCTTTTTCCCTCTCTGGAGTTACTCTCGACTCACGTTGATTTAATTTTCAGATTTTGCTGGCCGGCCAAAATGTCAACGACAACGAATTCCACACCGTGAGATTATCCAGAAGAGGTTCTAATTTAAAGTTGCAGCTGGACGGCCAATCTCCTATAAGAGGTGGGTAATAACAGTAACTGTAACCGTAACCGTAAGTTAGCCGGGTTGAATGGACTCGCTGTAAGAGAACGGTATTTTCTTTTTATTGGTTTTTAACGAAATTCAATCAGTAGGCGTGTTACTAAACAAGATATTGGTACTGCAATAAATTCAAAATTGACGGTCATTTTCGTAATGTAATTTTTATAGTAAAAAAAAAAATTGCAAGCAGACTAATATATAATTATAAACATCAATGTTGTAAGAATGAATTTAACATAATTTGAATATACAGTGTGGAAAAGCCAAATGGAATAAATTCATTATTTTGATTACTGTACATATTTATAGAAAATGCCGAAAGACGTCAAATTTAAATTATAAATTTACAGTCTTTAAAGTAAAAATGTGATCCCTACCTTCGACCCCCTTTGAGTAACAGTTACAACCCCTAATTTTTGAAATGGGAAGTATAGGCTTGTGATATATCGTTTGAAAGGTCTCTTCATTCACTATCCAAAAATGTTATTTTTTTTAAATTTATTGCAAAAATTAAAATAAAAAAAAATAAAATAACTGATAACCGAAATTTGTTACAATACACTCAATATGTAATATTTAATTGTTCATAACGTAAAAAATATGAATGTCAATGAAGTAGATGTTCAAAATGCTCACCGCGAATGTCTTGGCAACATCCTAATCTTGAATAAAAATGTCTTCTAACGTTAATTAACATATCAGGCGTGACCGATCTAATCGCAAGCATTATTCGTTCCCTTAAGTCATCTAAAACACGTGGTTTAGTTTTGTAAACAATATTTTTCACATAGCCCCATAAAAAAAGACTAATGGGGTAAGATCAGGTGATCTTGCTGGCCATTCTATTGATCCTCGCCTCCCTATTCAGCGATTTGGAAATGTTAAGGTACTGGCGGACATTGATTTGGTAATGTTGAGGTGCTTCATCTTGCTGGAACCATATGGTATTTGCTGGAACTTGAGAGTTTCCTGGATCAGGAAATAAATTTGCTAAACTTGGCACCACATCATTTTGTAGTAGTGCTAAATAATTATCGCCATTCAAATTCCCCTCAATGAAAAAGGGACCAATAATATGGTTGTTAAACAATCCCTGCCCAAAAATTAAACTTTTGAGGGTATTGTGTATGGACCTCTCTCATCCAGTGAGGATTTTCCATTGACCAGTAGCGGCAATTTTGATGATTAGCATGTCCGTTAACGGAAAAATTGCACTCATCAGAAAACTTAACGTTTTCTAATTAGATGGTATTGTTATTCAACATTTCCATCATTTGTTCGCAAAAATTTGTTCTCCTATCAAAATCGTCTTCCATGAGTTCCTGAGTCGGTATCATTTTATAGGGATGCATTTTATTTTCTTTTAATATGTTTAGTATCGATGTATGGCTGACATTAAATGTTGCAGATGCTTGTCTACTCGATGTATGTGGGTTTTCCTCAAACTCAAGCATCATATCTAATTTGATATCATCACTCAGTGCTTCTCTATTTTACTAATTGTACCTTGGGATATAGGCGGCAAATTCGGAAATTTTTCATGAAATAGGCGAGCAACTTCCATTTGTGTTCGGGTGTTATCTCCGTAACCAATCATCTGTAAAACTATTATTTTATGCATTTCTGTTAATCTAACCATTTTTATGAAATTCAAACGACAATTATAATATTGACAATATCCTGCAGTTATAATTATTACAAACCAATTTGCTAAGGCGTTTTAAACAAACTAACATTGCTATGATAGTTTTTTAAAGGATTTTTTTAAATTGATATTAAAAAAGAACACATATGGTTTTTGCTTAGGTACTCTCTTATTATAAAGACTGAAACGGGAAATAGTAGTGTAGGTACTCTAGAGAATTTCGGTAATAAGATGATTTTATTTTTTTTATGTTAATTTTTGCAATACATTTAAAAACAATAACATTTTTGGATAGAGAATGAAGAGACCTTTCAAACGATATATCACAAGCCTATACTTCCCATTTAAAAAATTAGGGGTTGTAACTGTTACTCAAAGGGGGTTGAAGGTAGAGATCACATTTTCACTTTAAATAATGTCAATTTATAATTTAAATTTGATGTGTTTCGGGATTTTCTATAAATATGTACAGTAATCGAAATAATGAATTTATTCCATTTGACTTTTCCACACTGTATAAGAGCCCGTATGTTAACATATTATTCCAGGTATTGACTTCCTTCATCAAAACATTTTACAATGTTAAAAATTTTCTGTGTATTTTGATAAACAAAACTCGGATTTATATAACTGATTACACCAAATTAGAGTTAAGATAAAAACGAATCCAATAATTTAATATTAAGTGTATCAACTGTTATCTCTATGACATATTATGAGCTCTAAATAATTAACACATTATTTAAAATAGATTAATAACAAACTTATTTTCAATCAATTCTTCAGGAAAATGAGAAAAATAAGACATATCTGGTATATGCAGACTTGAAAGCTGCATTCGATACAGTGTCCAGATAAAAGATTGTGAATGTGTGCAAGATTTTTAAAAATAAAACAATTTGATAAAAAAATTTAAAATAATTGAGTACTACTCCAGAATCTAATTTTAGAGTGATTATGACTTTTTCATAAACGAGAGAGTGGCTTCTCCCGTCCCGTCTCGTAGGGCGAGAGAAAACTCTTCTCTCGTCTCGACGAGAAAGCCTTCCTCTCGTCTTGTCTCGTCTCGTTTCTCTCGTGATAAAACAATATCAAATTTAAATTTGAAAAAGACCAAACATGAAAAAAATTTTTAAGATAACAAATAATTTTTCAAGTAATTTGCGCATTAGTACCCAAATTTGGCACTAAGAAACACTCACAGTCGTTTTACAATTAAAATTTGAAGAAATAAGTGGCCCTGATTAGGCGTTAACTAAAAACGAAAATACTTTGTCTTGTAAGTCAGTTGGGGAGGGGGGAAGAGGTTAACTTGGAAGTTAGAATTTTTTTAATGCGATCCTGCGATGTCAAATGAAAGCATTTTGTAGTATGTTTTCAAAATGCAAGAAGATAGACACATAAAACAAAAACGATGTGAAATTAGAGAAACAATATGATATTTTTGTTATAATGAGATGCACTTTACTTAAGACGTAAAATAGAGGGCGTTACTATCTATATATTTTCTAATGGAAAGTAAAGTCATGTAATATCTCATTTGAAAGATATTTTGATTATATTTACGTCAAAACAAACAGTTTTAATGTTTTTTGTTCTTTGTTTTCACAAAAATTACATTCTTGATAATCCTCGTGTGCCGCGATAATCCTATAAATATTAGTTAATGTTAGTAGATAATTTTTTAATAAGCTCTTTTTTGCCAAGAAGTTATTAAAAATTTAATACGTCAAGTGGTTTTTAAATCACCTTAGATAATCTTAATTTATTTATTGTAGTAAATACAAGAAGCCTTTCCTTAATAATAAACAATAATTGTTAATATGAGAGTTATCAAAAATGTATCTTATTAGTAAGGGCCCAGAACATGTCTGTATAAGAACAAAGTACGAGCTACAAAAAAATTGCCATTTGTGCAGTGTTAAATCCCTCTAACAGTAAAAAATTACTTAAATTTATAAAAGATACTGACAGTTACTCTGTACTAGCCAAAATGTTAATTATCCAGTGTTACCGCACGTCACTGTTTTGGATCGTTAGTTATTCAACATAAATTTAAAATTTTGAGGTCGCACCATCTATCTAAAAGTACGTGAACGCTTGATGTAATCTTGTTTGCGGTAATATGAGTTTTGTTTTGATTCACTTTCGTAACTGTTCTAGAACTCTTCCATAACCTTTGGAGCATGCGCAGTGGATATTTGCTGTTTTGGTTTCGCCAGTACTGTTACGAACCTGTAGTTCTGTGTTTTGATTTTCTTGGGAATGGTTCCATAACCATTCTCGAACAGTAACGTCGGTTCTGGCCTAAAGCGAGAACTGTTTCAGAATTGATATGTTTGCGCTTGCGCTTTTTTCGCAAGTAGTTTTGTTTTTGAGATCCTGTCCATGTTTTGTGTTGGAATTTTTACAAGGAATTTTCGAATGACTAATGCGAATGGAGCAGTTGTTTAGTTGATGTTGGGTCATAAGATTTTTTACAAATAAATTATTTAATTTATCTACGTTTTACAATATTATGTGGCCTCTTTTTTAACTAGACAATAACCCTGTGTTATTTCTTCTTTTTTATTTATAATTTACTCCTTGACATTAAACTGTTCTGGCAGTGTTTTGGTTTTGAATACAATGGAATGGTTACAGAACTGTTCAGAATTAAAGACCATTGCGCAATAGTTCTGCGCATGGTTCTGGAACAATTCTAGAACGTGAACCAAAACAAACCTATGGTTAAAACTACGTTGCTGTACAGAACTTGTAAATGAAAGAAAAAATTAAATATTTTTTGTGTGGGGCCTTTAATGTGAATATATTCTATTTCCTGAAATAGTTTTGATGACTTTTTAACATGTAAAATTTTCACCATTTTGTCCATTTTTTTATTTTCTCATTTTTTTTTTACTTTTCAATATATTCAAAAAATAGTTTAATACCATTAGAATATTATAAAAGCAAATTCGCATAGATGTATTGCCTATTGCGGCGCGCCTATGGCTATGCATCAAGGATAGGTGGTTTTATGTACTAGTGTAATACCATAATTTTATTAGTGCTCAGTTTGACGTCATTTTTGTGCTGAAAAGGCGAGGAAATAAAAAAGTATCGCTTATTTGCTTTGTTGTATGGAAGTTGCTTTATTGTTTAAAAATATAAAACACGTGAAAACTAAACTAAGTTATGAAAAAAAAACATATAAATTATTTTTATATAAGGTTCCTAATATGAGATACAACGAAGTTCCTAATATGAGGTATCTCATATTAGGAGAACTTCTTATTTCTTAATAATTTAATGAACATTTGTTATGGATGTCTAGAAACAATAAAAAAAGAAA